AGCTCTGACTTAGCAGTTGATTAATAATTCCTGGCAGAGGATTTTAATGCTCCGAAGTTGACTAATGCTGGCTGAAAGGCGAAGGGGGGAGAGGATGAAAGAGAAGGGGGAGAGGGAAGTGAAGGATTCCTCAAAAGGACGACGCACACCTTTTAGATAATGAAATCTTTTCTGCAACTGAGAAATGCTGCAGCTTAGAAATGTTTATGTTTTGTCCCAAGAGTTAAGAGCATTCTCCAAATCAAAGAGTTAAATTTAGACTTTTTTTTTGTAATACTTTAATACACACAGTTTTTACATATTTTCTTTTATTCTACATTAGGGTTGTCATGTTACCATGATATTTTAACTTAGATCAGATCCTAATATCAATCAAAACGACACAGATACCTGCCGGCAAGTCCTGCACACGATCTAAATTGGACAAAAAGGTTGACAATGTTGCGATACCAAAACATTACCTATGTATTTGTGCTGCTTCAACAGTGCTCTCTCTTTCACACACACCTCAACTTTGATTAAAAATGACAGAAGATCAGATTTGTTTGTAAAGCTTCGGTACTTATTCATATTATCGATCATTAAAATAACAGAGATTGTATCACTCGTTATCGATAACTATCAAACAATTAGCCCACCTGATTTTCCACAGCTGTCACACAGTGTGCAGAGTGTGTCTGCTTTCATGCATTTGCTGTTCCATAACTTCCTTCAACCCCCCTCCCCTCTGGCCCCAGGGATTAATACCTGGGTTGGCATGGCAACTGTGACGCGGGCTATTGCCATGGGAGAGAAGCAGGAAGAGAGATTGAAAAAAAAAAAAAAAAGGAAGGGGGAGAGAGTGAAGTTATTCTGTCGAATCATTGGACCAATGCTGCATCCAGACAGGATGAACAAGCAGACTAAAAGTGTAATAAAAAAAAAAGGTATTATTGCTTCACAGCACAACATTACAGCTTTGATGAGCTGGAGATTGATTGGACTGCTGATCAATACCGGTGACTCAACAATTTCCTGGCCAGCTGCTGACGTGTCTGCCGTCTGAAGTCTCTCTTTTCATCACAGCGCTGTCTTGGAAACAGTGCCCAGCTGTTATTTCTGTCTCTAAATCTGTAACATCTCCAGAGCCGTGGTGGTCACAGATTGAATTTCTCAGTTATTGGAACAAGTAGTCAGGAACAAGGAGAGAAATGTGGGGAGAGGAAGAGGTGAGAGAGGGGGGGGGGGGGGAGCAACAGAGAGGTAAATGAGTGTTTAGGACAGAGGTGAGGGAGGAGAGGCTAAGCCGATAATTCTTCTTAAAGCTCAGATGAACAGCTGATGCATCATGCACTTAATTCAATTACACACACTCCCAAAGGGCCTGCGTGTGTATTTATGACAATGCAGCTTCCTGTTTCCAGAGCCAAAGAAAAAAACGGACAAAATAAGAACAGAAGCCAGACAGAGATTGAACTGGTGTTTTTTCAACAGAACATCTGAAATCTTACTTAAGGTTTTTAAAAACGACAGACTTAAATCTGCCTTGTTATCTTTGGAGCTTGTCCTGCTGCAGATACTTGTTTTCAATCTTTCATATCAATGAGTCATGGTGCTTTCACATATGCACACAACTCCTGAAAACTCAATAATTTTCAAACAGCCTGATTGAATCACTCTGAATTTACCCAGAATCTTTCTTGCTAGTCCCCTGGTAAATGTTCTGTGTGAAATCAGGATGAGCTGATGTGAGAACACATCACACACCTGCTAGTGAGCAGAAGGGGGTGGAGCCTATAGACTGTGTGCGTGACCAATGTTATGTTTTTACTGTTTGCCGTCTGTGGCTGATTGAACAGAGAGGCTTGAGTTCAGTGGTCAACTGGGGTGACCTGGTTGTTCTGGTAAGTGCATTGCGTGTGATGGGAGTGTCAGGCTGGCTGTCAGGAGATCAATGATTTTAGAGGCATTGTTCCTGCTGCTGACGGTGAGCATGGTGGGAGGCCTGGACTATTTGATAAAAATATGAACTGTGCTGCTGTTACATAGTTCAGTATAGTCATCATGTATGAAGTTCAATACATTAAAAACAATATTAAAGAATCAAAAATAAACCGAATAACTATTTTTTCCAACGCTAAACTGACATGAATTAATGGTAGCTACCTCAGACTTCATCTACTTACATCAAAGAGGCATTAAAGCATCATCATTATACTCGGGCTGCCATCCAATAGATAAAATGTGCACAGGCTGAGTAAGAAAGCATTGTTTATTTTCTTAGTTTACTGTGATAAAGTCAGACTATTGCAATGTGTATTTTGCAAATATTTGTGATGATGAAGAAATTTGCATTTAATTTCACAGCAGCCCTAGTGTCAGAAGTTCACACACCCAATCATGGCACAAATCTTTGTTTGTCTGGGTGAACTACAGTGGTCCTTTTCCCTCTGGGCTCATTGAATACCAGGAATCTGTCTCAGGTAACATCAGTGAAAACATGCACACAGACCAGACAGCCATGCACACATCGCCTCGGGCTACTGTAAAGTTATGTCATCATGACAGTGTTGTTACTACGGCTATGAAAAGCAAATTCCTGGCCCATGTGACTCAAAGGAAACTCACATGTTGTTTTGGAAAGCAGGACAACACACTTCATTTTGTTCAGTTTGGTGCTGCTGCCTTCAATGAATGGTTACACACTGCTGCTGCTGCTGTAGATGATAATTCATTATAAAGCCGTGTGTATGTCAGTACTCCTTGTAGTTAAAAGTCATGTTGTGGTAATTTAGAGTGTAGGAACATTTACTTTACTTGATCCTTTCTTCTCTCATGTTGTAGGCCTTTTGATTCTTTTTTGCTGGATTAAAAAATACACACATGCAATAACAGCAGCTACTCCATCAGTCAGTCAATATAACCTCCCCAGTGTCTTACTCACACCTTCAACACTAAAAGTGAGTTCAGCTCAGTGCAGCTCCTCACATCTGCACAACTGTATCTCAGCATGAAGCAGGCAGCACCCCTTCATTGCTGCACACATGGCAATAAACATTTTATAAAATTGGATCAGGTGTAATCTGAGCGCTGTGCATTGAGGAGTAATTGGATGGCCGCAAATGTTCTTCACTGCTGGAAGATATTCTACCTGAGTGTAAAAGAGAGAGATACTGTACAAGAGTCTTGTTTAAAGCAGGAATTCACTGATGCCCTCTTTTTTTTTTTTTAGTCTTGTTGTTGCTGCTCTTCCTCTTTGTCTCCTTCTTTATTTACTTTAACCTTTCTCACTGGTGCGTTATATATACTCACCGAAACACAAGTTTGCTGAGGAGTTTACGCGGGAATAAATGACAAAACTTAAAAAAGATACTCAAAAAAATCAGTTACTGCGCTGCACCCTCTACCCCTCCTGTCTTATTGTTTTCTTGTCTTTTCCTCCACTCCCCTCAATTCCTGTGCATTGTTAATTTGCCTCGTTTTCTATTTCTGTATTGGTTTCCTGCATACACACACTTACACACACACACACACACACACACACACACTCACTCTGCTTTTGTAACACACATTTTGTTCTTTGTCTCTGTCATGCACACTCTTCCAAGTAAAGTCACATTTCCCCTCTCGGGTCAGAATGTCTCACCTTGTCACTAATAGCCAAACCCAAACAACTAATGATGGATGAGTGGCTTCATTGCATTAGTTAAACACTTTACAGAGGCTTAAAAAAAAAAAAACCCTGTGGAAGTAATTGGCAAATCCCCAAGCTGTGATACATATGTTTTGTAGCTTTTCATTCATTTTTAATGTTGTTATTTTATCCAGTTTTTTATAAATTCCTCTGGATAAATCGAGGGTCAATTTGCCGTTATTCCAGCTGATGTTATGTCATAAGTGCCCATCAGCGTGTTCCACTGTGATAGATCCAGTGCTGGCTCGTCCGCTCTGTAATCTTTTAAAATGGAGTTCACAGACGAATACATTACTTTAATTAGACGGAGAGAGAAAGAGAGAGGCACGATGAGGCAGCAGTCTGCAGCTCAGTGATGGATGGGAGTGGAGGCGGTGCACACCCAGGGGAGGAGGCTCCGCTGTCAGCCTAGTACCTATCACGCATCCCCTGGGTGGTCCCAGGTCTAGGGTGCTTGTAGAAATGAGTGGGGGGATGTTCAGGGAGCGGTGTCTATACACCAGTAGGGAAATGAATAAATTGAATAACGAAAGAACAATTAATTTGATGAATGGACGATAAAGCACAAAGACCAAAATGCTTCCTTAAAACCATCTTAGATGTTTTACTCGATCCACACTAGTGCAGCATTATACGTAAATATTAGTCATTTAATTCCACATTTTGATCCTAATTGTATATGCTTTATATTCTGACATGTCAAGATGTTATGATCTTATATAAAGAAATAAGTAACTGTGTACTCTACCATGCTGAGGTTTTATTCAACTTGTGATGTTATCTGTGACAGCTATCATGATAATAAAAGAACTGATACAGCACTACAATATGTTCTTTTTGAGTTGACTTTATATTGACTGTAAACATACCAGTGACAAGATAAAATCTGTCTTTTGTTGTCTGCTGTTTGCATTAGATGCTGACTCAGTACAAACAGCAGTTTAAATTCAATGCCTCAGTCCTTTAAACGTATCGTTCTTATCATTCATCTCTGAAATATTTGGTCTACATCAGGGATGGGCCACTTTGATCACGCTTACATCATTTAATTCTCACTGCCAGAGGGCCAAAAAGTAGGATACAAAAACGATTACAGTCAATTATGACTCAAATTTAACTCAACATACCAGTGATCAAATATTATTATGGACAGGTTTCATGATTTCATGGCAGATTTTGTCACATTTTCTTCGTGTTTCAAATTAATTGATATGTCAAAATTGACCTGAGGACCACGCTGAGGGTTGATGGGAGTTGAATGATATCATTTAGCTTTTAAAAGAGAAATTGTGTCCTGACTTCTTAGTTTTCTCCTTTTTTTTCTCAGCTGTTTCGAGAGGTACGCATCATGAAAACTCTCAACCATCCCAACATTGGTGAGTTATACCTCAGACGACCATCTTTTGTGTGTGTGTGTGTGTGTGTGTGTGTGTGTGTGTGTGTGTGTGTGTGTGTGTGTGTGTGTGTGTGTGTGTGTGTGTGTGTGTGTGTGTGTGTGTGTGTGTGTGTGTGTGTGTGTGTGTGTGTGTGTGTGTGTGTGTGTGTGTGTGTGTGTGTGTGTGTGTTGGCCCGGCCTCTGTGCTGAAGTCTCTTCCTTTGTGTCTTGCAGTACAATTGTTTGAGGTGATTGAGACTGACAAGACTCTCTACCTGATTATGGAGTATGCCAGCGGAGGTGAGTGACACATCCACCACTCACGCCAAGTATTCAAAGCCACAAATTACACTGATTACTCTGCCTGAACTATGCACATCAGACACTTAATGCAGGTTATCAAGGTCAGCCCTTTGCCTTCTACACAGAGACAGGGACCTCACTAAGGACAATATGCATCAATCTTTTCTCTTCTTTTCCTCCAAAATCATCCTGCTCTCTGAAGTGTTTTTCTTTCTTCTCTCCACATGATGCCTTAATCTCTCTCTACTTGCTCTTTATGCTTTTTGATCTCTTCTTATGCCTAATAAGGAGGCAGCAGCTTACCAGCTGCTCCCTTGAACTCAACCTTGTAGGTTCAAATTCTTGGCTTTAGTGCACAAATGCACACACAGATATGTATAGAGACTTAGACACAGGAGCTTTTAAACCTTTGAATGTCTGGATTATGATTTACTTTAATGGACTTTAAGATCATTTTAAACAAGCCAGAAAGGACTATCGTACCCTTATATGAGGTTTTAACCCTTTAAAGAATGTTTTAACGTTTGCTCTTTAAAGCGAGAAAACGTACTTATGCAAGCTGAACACAGACCTGATTCTGAGCTCATAAAACCCTGGCAGAGAGTTGTAGATTTTATTACTTTTGAACACACACACGAACACATCCTGAGGGAAAAGACGCTCTGAGTTCACATAAACTTAATACAAATGTTTTTCCTGGAGCTTGAAAACAGCAAAGGTGGTGAGCATCACTGTGTGCAGGAAGACACCACAACAAAACGATTAAGAACAACCTATCATTTACTGACAGTTTCTAGTCTTGTATAAATGTCAGGTGTCTATTAACCAACTTCCCTGACTGCCTGAACCGCAGCATGTCTTCACACCCTTTTTGTTTTTCCCTCCAGGCGAAGTGTTCGACTACCTCGTGGCTCACGGCAGAATGAAGGAGAAAGAGGCCAGAGCCAAGTTCAGACAGGTCAGTTTAACCTCATACCTGACCTCACCTGTGTGACCGTCCCCGCTCAGCTAATAGCTGCTTTTTATATTTACTGCCTGATGGAAACTTGGAGAAGGGAGGATCACCAAAACAAAGCCTGGTTTATGTGTTACAGGCACTAACCAGCTTGGCCAATATTCTTGATCTGCTAAAATCAGCATGGAGTGACAGCAGCCGAACTCTGTGTTCCCTCAGCGTTGATGATGTGACTTATTGTTTATAGTATCTCTTCAGCTTGTGACAGGGCAGTGTGAGTCTAAAGCAGACTAGTACAGGGATAGTATCAAGTTTTCTACTTTGGTTCAGAGCAAGTAAAACAAACAGAAGGCGTCATTAAATTCAAAATTCATATTGTTACATTAGAGTATAATTGGTGCAGGAGGGCGTGTGAAAAAGGAGCTTTGATTTTAGCTGCCTGTTATCTTTCAGTACAAACATTAAGTGCAGTTGTGTTCTAATGTTTAATGTCTTTTTTTTTCCTTTCTCACTTCCCAGATTGTCTCAGCGGTGCACTACTGTCATCTGAAGAACATTGTTCACAGAGACTTGAAGGTGATTACTCAATGTTGGAAGAATACAGAATAAGAAGGGTCTCTGAATGTTTTTTCATGCCACAAAAAATCAGAGAAAGTGTTCTTCATCTTGCTCATAATCCCTTTAATAAAGACTGTTATAATAATTGAAGTAATATTTGATATGTATGAATCATTTCTTTCTTTAAGTTATATCAATGATTACAAAAGTTGAGTGCATAGAAACCACCAAATGTCTCATCCATTTAACATGCAGTAAAGCATCACTTCCAGTATGTCACTTCTGAAATCTGTTGTGGCCTTCAGCTTTAATTTGCAGGAAGCTTTTTCAGCACTCAGTATTTCAGTAATGCTGCATGATTCCAGTTTTACCTCTTTCCTAACAGTCTGACTCTCTGTGTTGATGCATGCAGGCAGAGAATCTACTGTTAGACGCTGACGCCAACATCAAAATAGCCGACTTTGGCTTCAGTAATGAGTTCTCTGCGGGCAGTAAACTGGACACATTCTGCGGCTCCCCTCCGTACGCGGCCCCAGAGCTGTTCCAGGGGAAGAAGTACGACGGTCCAGAGGTGGACATCTGGAGCCTGGGGGTCATCTTGTACACGCTGGTCAGCGGGTCCCTGCCCTTTGACGGACAGAACTTAAAGGTGACATGGAGGCTACAAAAGACATCAAACTAATCTTTTATGATTCCCTGCGGCAGAAACTCACCAAACATAAATGTGTGTTGTGTTCAGGAGCTGCGGGAGCGTGTTTTAAGGGGGAAGTATCGTGTGCCCTTCTACATGTCTACAGACTGTGAGGGAATCCTGCGCCGCTTCCTGGTTCTCAACCCTACCAAGCGATGCTCACTGGAGGTGAGAAGGAAGCATGACAAGAACATGAAGACGAGGGTCAAACAGCCCGTTCTTACTCATGTTCATAGTGACCACAGTGATGTCAGCTGCACAATGCAATCTGTTTGATAATTAAACATTCATGGTGTTTATGTTAGAGAGAACACATAACAGTTAGAATATAAAGCAAAGGATGAACATGAAAGAAAAGTTACAACTTGTATTTGTGGATTACTAAAATTAAAATGGATTTCTCTGTCTTTACTATGATGATGCAGTTAAATTGCTCTTTCTCTTCTTTTCTCTCCGCCAGCAAATAATGAAAGATAAGTGGATGAATGTTGGCTATGACGGCGAGGAGCTGAAGCCCCACTCAGAGCCGGTGGAGGACTTAAACGATACTAGCCGCATCGGTGAGAAAATTATACCTTATTAAGGGGGAAGCTTTTGTTCCTTTATGCTAACATTATTGTGGAGAATGTCACCCTGCTTTCCTGTAAGATAATCGACAATTTAAGAAATGTCATTCATTTTGATTTTCTCCAACTCCAGATGTTATGGTCGGGATGGGCTTCACCAGAGATGAAGTCCGAGATTCACTGGTCAGTCAAAAGTATAATGAGGTCACTGCCACTTACCTGCTGCTGGGACGCAAAAATGAGGTGAGGTCAAAGGTGATGGTTAACCTTTTGTTTTGTGTGTCATCCTCTGTATTAAGCAGCGGTGTAGGAGGTGTTGTTTTTGTCCACAGAAAGGCACGCCTCAGTGTCGGAGATTGTCAGATACAGAATGGAGGGACTGTCTTTTGTGTTTTCAGCAGATTAAAAGTCTAATCTTAGATTGTTTATAACTCTTCTTTGTGGATCATTCTTTTATAAGCACAGTCAGAAACAGACAAAACATTTAAAAACAAAAGGATCCATCCTTCTGTTTCAAGAAGTCGTTTTCCTAGTTTGACAAGTTTGAGACATGAATTCAACCGGATCTTCTTTCAGTATTAACTGCACTAGACTAGCTTGGTCTAGGTTCTGACCCTGGGTGGTTGCTTCAAATAAACAACCTTATAGATGCTTAAATCCAGTCTTATTCTAAATGTAATGCTAAATCCAGAACACACTTTGCATGCTGTCTGTTTTTATGGATCTCCCAGGAGGAAAAACATGAAAACTGTCTTCCTGCCTGATGATTTCCATCGCATTAAGCAAAGTCCAATATCTGCAGTTTCTGCTCAGCTGTGTTGCTCTATGTGGCTATTTCTCCATGTGGTGTTTGTAAGCCTACTAGCTTGCAGGGTGATGGCGGCGGCAGCAGTTAAGGTCATAACTAATGTGTGTAGGACACAGCCAACTTTTTAGATGACAGGAAAGTATTAAAGTTGCATCTTAGACACTGAAATTTACAGAACATCCTTTTTCTTCTTTCTGTGTTTGTCTGTCAGACGGACGGCAGTGAATCTCGGACGGGCAGCAGTCTGAGTCTAGCCCGAGTCCGACCCAGCGCCATGACCAACGGGACCAGCAAACACACCACCTCATCATCCGCTGCCACTTCTTCCTCCTCTGGCCACAAGACACAGCGCAGTGCCTCCACTTACCACCGCCAGAGACGACACTCTGACTTCTGTAAATCCAAACTCTGAGATCAGCGGCACACTGGGTTTCTTTTTGCATGTCTTCGTATCAAATGGTTACAGAAATCTTCCCTCACTAATAGTGTTCTTCTGCATCTCTCAGGTGGTCCAGCAGTCCCAGGGTCAACGCATCCAAAGCGGAGTCCCAGTGGTACGGCTGAAGGGGCGGGGCTTAAGGAGGAGCGGACGTCTATACGGAAGCCGAGCACAAACCCTGTGGGATCCCGTAGCATCCCGACCCCGTCTAGTCCCATGGTCAGCTCTGCTCACAACCCAAATAAAGCCGAGATACCTGACCGACGCAAGGAAGCTAACTCAACCACGGTACAGAAACATTTAGTGAGTGTCCATGGTAACCAATCCTTACATCTCATACCTCATCAATACATCATCATGTGCAGATGGCAGAATCCTCCGAGTCATTCTAATCCCATTTCCTCAGATTACAGCATGTTGAGGCTGCTCTGACACAGATATTATAGAGACTGACTTCACAGTTTAGGGAAGAGTTGAGTAGTAAGTCACATACATACCTTGAGATGAATAACAAAGTGCAGATTTGCCCACCAGGGGGTAATATGCAGATTATGGTTGTTCAGTAAGATTAGCATGACAGAGAGATGTGGAGAGTTTCAACAATGTTGAGAGTTGAAGACTGCAGCCGGATTAACCTGAGATTAACTCTTTAATGTTCTACACAGTGGAGCGTAAGACGGTCTGAGGTCAAACACTGAAGGAAAAGGGGGCAGGGGAGTCTACTGGTTTTATTTTAACCTGGTTGGAGAACTGAGCGGAGGAGGTTTAAACAATACAGAAACATAACATTTTGAGGCATAGAAAAGAACAGTAAATGGCCCTAAATATTCTCCCTACATTGTGTTTTGTGGTGAACACATTCTCCTCTCACATGGTGTTAACAAAGATCATCAACAGCAGAATTTTTTGTCTGAAGTTATTTCAGTAAAGTCATGGGATGTTTTTTTGGTTTCTTTTCAAAGAATAATATCCCTGCTAGTGCCATGACCCGGAGGAACACGTATGTGTGTACGGACCGAACCAACACTGAAAGAAACTCACTGCTGCAAAACGGCAAAGAAAACAGGTGAGAGGCACCGAGTTTAACTGACATTGTGATTTTTCTTGCTTTATTTGTGGAAATTTTGACCTCAGCCAGACAGCATGGAGAAAAGGCAGAGATACAGAAAGTCACCTCCTCTTGTATCTAAACTCCCTGAGGGACCTCAAAGGTTAAAGGTAGAGACCTTACACTGTAGAAGAGAATGGGAAGACTCCGGTTTGTTTCAACAGAAAGCCTTAAACCTGCAATCCCTCTACTAACCATAGGGGATAACTCCACTTGTTGAAAAATGAAAAAGTTTGATTGTAAATCCACTAGGAATGACTCTTCTGATGAGTTGATTTTTAATCTTGGTAAACATTTTGCTAATGTGTTTGTGGTTTCCATTTCTTGTTTAAAGTCTTCAATACATGCTGATGATTATTTTATAAGTTAAAGTCCCAATTGTGGTCCAATTGACGGTAAAGCGCAAGCAGGGTATGCAAGGCAAGGCAAGGCAAGTTTATTTATGTCGCACATTTCAACAACAAGGCAATTCAAAGTGCTTCACACAAGACATCAGAAAGCATCATGACAGAGAAAGAAAAGAAACATTAAAATAGAAAGTTTAAAAATGACCACAAGTAATTTTTGTTTCCTCAGATTTCTAGTTACCTTTAAACACGAAGAAGTCCCTGTCCTTTAAGTAGGATTCAAACCAGTTTAGTGCTGTGCCAGAAACTCCCACCAAGTTTTCCAATCGGTCGAGTAATATATTGTGGTCAACTGTGTCGAACGCAGCACTGAGATCAAGTAAAACTAAGACTGAGGTTCTGCCAGTTGTGCAACTATGCTTCAGGATTTGGCTCCCTGTGATTATAAAGGCTCTACCATAGAACCCTGTCAACCAGGACAGAGGTGTACCAGTGACTATCCACACTCTCATCTCAAATGTCCACTCAAAACAAGTACAGATTTATGGTTTGGATCAGCATATGGGTTGATCTGAAGAAACTTGACTCAGTTTGATGGTGAGGGTTGTCTTTAAAACAGGCAGGATGTAACTGTTGGTTATTTAATGTCAGTGCAGGGAGGTGGAATAAATGACACTATGGAACTTGAATTAACCTGAAGTGGTGTCATGTAACATATTTTATTCTGGTAAATTCATCTTGAATAGAGACTGGTTCCACTGGTACAGCTTGTCTCTTTCTGCACAGAGCTCAGAGGGTGTTTGGCCCGGGGTGTTAGTCTCACATACAGTTTGTCTCTTCAAGAGGAGATAAAGGGCTTACACTGTGCATGAGTGGTTTTGTCTGTCTGTGTGTGTGTGTGTGTGTGTGTGTGTGTGTGTTTGTGTGTGTTTTATGTACCAGTGTGGATTGTCTGTTGTTGTGACAGATGGTTGTCTGCATGTCAGTCTCAGAGTCACTTCACTTCTTCATCTCCTCTCTCTCCATCCTCCTCTATCCCCAATAATCACTCTCTCACTTTCTCTCTTTTATTCCGGCTGACCTGTTTTCCACCCCTCTCTCTCTCTCTCTCTCTCCTTGTCTCTCTCTCTCTCTCTCTCTCTCTCTCTCTCTCTCTCTCTCTCTCTCTCTCTCTCTCTCTTTTTATCAATCTGTGATGTTTACTCTCAGTTGGAGAGCCAGAAAGTCTCTGTGGGTTGCCTGAACTTGAGTTAATGTTTCCTGTTCAGAGTTGTACGCTGAAGTCAGGCAAAGGGTGAATCAAATATAACAAGTTTAAAAATCTAATCTTTCACTTAAAGCAATACAAACACTATGGTTAAATGGATAAACAAATACATATATTTGTATTTAGTAGATGTAAAAGGAATAAAAAGATTGACAGAGCAGCCTCACATTGAGCCTTTATTCTCTGGTGCAGCTCCATTTGGTGATGTCACAGGTGGTGCTGAGGGATATTGAAATTGGAGCAGGGAGTGACAGGTGAAGGGGGGGGTGACAGGATGAGGACGGGATGGGACAGGAGGAGGGGGAAAGAGGAGGTAAGCGGGAGAGCTGCAGGATGAAGTGATGACTGGCATTGTGCCCACGTGAGCTGCGGATCGGCTCGGAGGCCTTGTCAATGTGAATCCATGCCAGAGTGGTTGATGAATCCAACACGTGTGCATCACACACACACACACACACACACACACACACACACACACACACACACAGTCACATTATGTTGACTAAAGTACAGCAGCGTGTGTGTGTGTGTGTGTATAATTAATCTTATGTTGTTTATAAAACATAGAGCTCCTTATGTTACTGTGAGTATGAACACTGACATTAATCTATGATGACACTGGAAGCTGAGTGAACTCGTGCCAAGACTCGCAGATGTAAAGACACATCCTGAAGGACAGATTCATGTCGGTGGGCCAGCTTATCTTATTATAACTTCCTGTTACTGGAATAACTTAAGTGCACTTATTGAAGATTACATTTTAATATAGTTACCTGTGATTTTATCTACATAACTTTAAAAGCTTTATATGTGATTTTTTGATCCAGCAGATGTCGCCCTTGAGCACCAGCACGAAACCAAAACAACTCGCGCTGCATTGTTGTGTTAGCATGCTAATGCTAGCGATCTTTATTATGCTGGTATCTTCACACTGCATGTAAATTTAGCTGAAATGAGCGTGATCTAGAAACACAGTTAAGCAGTGAGTACAGTATGTTATTCTTCTTTTCTCTAGTCCCTCAATTAAACAACTTTTATACGTGAGGGGAGGAGTCAGCCGGCCGTCCTGGCGATGTAAACAAAGTGAAGATAGGACTCTGAAAACTCTGAAAACATCACAGACAGTGGGACTCAGGTGTTACACCCATTGTAGACAGTCATGACTCACAGAGTTATTTTCAGAGGATAAACTTGATTTCTATTATATTTAAGTGTGAAAAATCACATATAAAGACTTTAAACTCTGTTATTCATATACACATCATCATCATCAAACATCATTATTGACAGACTCAGGTGTCCATACAGACATAAAACACGAGGTCAAATCACCACCAATACAAACAGAATGAACAATTATTTAGTAGTCATAGTTGTGAAAATTGTTCTTCAGCTCAAAATGAAATAAAAAGTTGGCATATGAGCAGAGGTTTACAAAGATTACTTTAAAAAAATGTCCTGAATCTTATTACTCAACTTCCAAGCATTGCGCTGCATCAGAAGAAACATTTGAAACAGAAGTCTTGAAAACTGTCTGAGTGATTCAGTGAATAACATCAGTGGTGGCTCTCCTCCTTTCTAAGTTATTCTCAGTGTGTCAGCACCAATTCAACCTTTATCTCCTTCATTCTCCTCCTCACTATTCTTCAGTCTTTAACACAATCCTCTCCACTTTCTCCCTCTCCCTCCTCCCTCAGTCCCCGGTGTGCACCCCTGCAGTGAGCTGCAGTAGGTAGCTGGTTCACATGGACGTTAAACGATTTGGCTGTGCAGCGGCTGTGCTTCAACTTAACCAGTCTAATGGTCATGCCCTACTTCAGCCCTGTGTGTGTGGGTGTTATCTAGAGCGTTATGAAAAGCAGCCTTGGGCCACCAGCCAGCAAGAGAGTCAGGGGATGAGAGGTGTGTGTGTGTGTGTGTGTGTGTGTGTGTGTGTGTGTGTGTGTGCGTGTGTGTAGGTGTGACAAAGCAGGGAGCTGAATGAGAGGTACAGTAAGGGGAAGGCATAAAAATCTGAATGGTCCAGTTGGGAGAGTGAATTTCAAGTCTCTACAAAAAAAAAATTCAAGTTTCAAAAGCAGCTTGCTCTCTTATCTTTGCCTCCAGGAAAGGAAAGAAAACATTCTTAATAATCCCAAGCTCATTAAAAACTATTTGCAACCAGGGTTTGTGCTACAGGAGTAATGATGACATCATGCCACTTCAGCCAACAAAAACACTCATTTAACTTAATGATAAAACATCAAAGATCCCTCAGGTGGGTTCAGTCCACTATGGATCAGATTCTTGTGTCTGTTTGAAACAGATACACACGGTTATGGAAGTTCAGTCCTCGCTGTTTCTGCTGTGCACTCCTGATACTCAGCTCAACTCAACTTTAACTTTAAACACAACATAGTTGATCCAAAGTGCTGAACATTGCAGAAACAGAGCATTAGAAAGTAACAGACAAGAACAATAACAATAAAAAAAAGAAAAGAACAAGCGACAGTTAATTCCAGTGTAACACAAGAATAACAGAGCTCTGGGTTTTTGTGCTTGATGGGTAACTGAAGATTAAAGGCAATTGAGGAAGAATATGTCTTAAGAGACACTGCAGACAGCAGCAAATGCCAAAGGAGTGACTGAGCTGACAGTCATGACATTTTGTATGATTTTACAACATCAAATAACTAATTGATAAGAAAATTCTCAGGAAAAATTTGATTTAAACAAGTAGCATGATGATATCTATCATGACAAAACCATATGTGAGAAAAATGCGTCTGACGTGCAGTCTGATTTTTCAGTTTGATCCATGTCCCAGGTGTGTTAACATGAGCCCTTTTTGTGGTCCTATCATTGTCTAAAAACAATTAAAAAAAATGTATTGCACAAGATTCCCAGGTTCTGCTTATAATCATACGCAATTAAAATGAGGTAAATATGTCTCTAGTCCAAAGTGTTCAAACTAATCATGTGATGCTTTAGCAAAGTGCAAAAGCTCCTAAAATGTAACAAACCTGAGATGATTTTAGCAGCCACTAACTAGATTTTCTTTCTCCTCCTTCCTCCAGTTCCATATCCCACCGCCTCCCCCCTGCTTCGCCCTCAACCCACAGCATAGGTGGTGCCTCTGGCGTCTCCTCCACGTCCTCCACGCCCTCCTCCCGCCTCTCCCGGGGCACCACGGTGAGGAGCACTTTCCACGGCGGGCAGATCAGAGACCGCCGGCCTCCCTCCCACGCTCCCCCAGCCTCCCCTACACTGTCTCATGACTCCAGCCCGCTGCCCCACGCCAGGACTCGGGCCACAACCAACCTGCTTAGCAAACTCACCTCCAAGCTGACCCGCAGGTAAGGGGAGAAGCTGGGAGAAGGACTTTTGACTCCGCTGATTGTTTAGCCTTAAAGAGGAGACGTTTAGCTTTAGTTTTAGAAGATGTGATTATAAAAACAGAAGAGAACGATTGTATGTGTTTGATGATAACTGCTGATGTGGTGAAGCTGACTGCCTGTATGTTTTCTTTTTTTGGCTTTGTAATTGGACAGAAATAAAAACCTGTACATGAAGATCACTGAGCTAACCTTGCTGCCTCTCACCGTCTCTTCCTTAACCAGCACTAACCAGCCTTCTTTCTCTAACAACACATCTTTACAGGCTTTAGAAGTTGTCCTCCTTGATGTCAAACCTGGGTCTAATAGAGTTTCAACATTAATCCACTGCTCACTAAAACTCTCCAGTTAATCATCAGAGCAGAGAGTTATATTACATGTACTTTAGGAAAGCTTTAGCATTAGTAATATTGTGTGAAACTACTGATTACCCCGAAATAATTGATGACCTATTTGACCCAGGTCTGCTGCTCAGGGGGGCAGACTGTACGTCGTTCACTGTTGATTTATCTCTGCTGCTTATTGTTGCTTTTATCTGTTGGTTTGTTTCAACTTTTTGCTTTTCCTTACCAGTCACCTGCCGTTCTTCTACCCTCCTTTCTCCAAAACTACAGAACATAAAGTTTAATTTGTTCTTCTCTGCCTCCTCTACCTGTGCTTTTTTTTTTTTTACTGTCATCTCCACGTTGTCTTCCCCCCCTCCTTTTTTTTTTTTTACTTGCCTTCTCTTCCGTTCGATGTCTCTCTTGACTCTGCTGTAAATTTCTTTCCTTTATTTTCCATTCGTCTCATCCTCTCTTCATCTCCTTCTCTTCTTCCTCTCTTCTCCTAGGGTCACTCTTGACCCTTCTAAACGTCAGAGCTCAAACAAGTCCATGTCGGGCTGCACCCTCCCACAGGGGACAAAAACAGTTAGTAAGTCTTCCTTTCCCATGTTTTCTGGCTGCTTTCTGTCTGTCTGACTTGTCTGCCTGCTTGCCAGTGCTCTGTCGTCCCCCTCTCTACTTGTCATGATGTCTGCCAGGTTAGAGTTCAGTTATGCAAACGTTTGTCTGAAGTAAAGCGTCTCTCCAGGCCGTGTTCATGGTGAGTTTAAAAACAGGGTTCTGTCTCCATGTATCACCTCAGCCTTACTCTCTACAAGTACAAGTTAATTCTCCATTTTTCACATGAAATTTGGATCCCTGTGGAACTATCTTCAAACACACAAGATGAGAGCCAGGTTTTCTTAGGGGGGCGTATAAAATAAGGTTGTCTATATTTGGGAAACTTCAATACTTCTCGATCCTTTTCAATATCACTTGTTTGGAAATGATTCAATCTGAGACATTTTAATGATCGATGAGTACCAAAGCTTTAAGAAAACTAAAAAACCTTCAGTCATAGTTTCAACCAAAAGCTGCAACGAGAGAGAGAGAGGAACAGAGCATTGACTTAATTACGATATGATACACTGAGTCCAAGAAAAATTTCCCCATGGGGACAACAAAGTGCTGCCAAACGTTTACCTGCTTCCACTAATGAAAAAACAAAATACAAAACACATCAACATGTAAACAGAGATGCAAATACTAATGCAAAACAACACAACACATATTGCACATTGCCCAAATTGCAGAAATACATCGAACATTTGTGTCTGTGCGACTGAGACCATGTGCAGGAATTTTCCTCCGGTTCTTGGTAATTTAAAAACAAGGATTGACCTCAAGTAGGGTCCTTGAACTTTGATTCTTTCTGCTGTGGTGTCCAAACAGGTATTAAAAATGTTAGATTGTTACAAGTATCTTCTCTGAGTATAAAATTCTGATATTGTGACAACCCTCGTATAAAGCAAACTATCAAAGTGCATGCCCTAATCTCTTTCTCCCTGGTTTCGGACTCTGTCCACTGTCTTATCTCTCTAATAAAGGCCCAAAAAGCCCAAAAATAAATGGGCCAGAACGACTATAAGGACTTCAATCTATATTTGTTGTTGTGATGTCAAAACAGGTCTCAATGTCATTTGATGTTCACTAGCATCATATCGAAGTTTAAAACTATTTACTAAAAAGAGTGGTATAATAACAAATCGTTATTTGTTAACGCTCAGCTTTAGCAGTTCAGACTAACCCGTGCCACGAGGTCGACTCTGTAAACACAAATTCAAACTTTCTGTCTCCACTAACTGACAAAGGAGGAATAGGTTCAGAAGGTCCAAACAATAAAGTGTCTTTAAGAAACAAAGACTGAGGTTTAATTAAGACTCAGGACGTTCAGCCGTCTTATATCCATAAAATCCAGAAACCTCCCCCGAGTCCCCGAGCCTGTGGACAATAAACATTCCTTTAAACAGTTTGTTTCTATGACTAAATCTCTAATCAGCTGCTGCCTGCCTGAATGTCTGTCTGTCTGTCTGTCTGGACTGCTTGCCTCTCTGCTGGCCGGGCTTTGCTCTGTAGCTCCCACTAGAGGCTGTCGGTGGCACTGCACAATTACCTGCTTCCAAAACAAAAAAAACAGTGCTGGATTTCTGGAACAATAAGGGGTGGATTTGGTGGTAATTTGATTTGAAGCTGGCTGGTTTCATGTTTGTCTTTATAGCTGGATCAAAGATTGAACTTAAGCGTTAGACATACGAGACCAGTAAGTTAATTTAGGTAAAAATCCAGTTTGACTCAAACAGAGAAACTCAGAATCCCTGTGAAAAAATGTGTGTGTGTGTGTCCTCTTGAGTATGTGAGTTTATTGCATCTCCACTGTACTCGTGTGAGTCATGTAATCAACACCATATGTTTGTCCATGCTGTTAACAAATCAACGGGTCTGCAGCAGGGCTGAGGGATCTCTGTGAGCAGAGGACAGACAGGAAAGAGGAGGAGGGAAGGATAGGAGGTGGGAGGGGAGGTGTTTGGATGTTTTCTACAACAGAATAGGGAGTGAAGGATTCAGAGGAGTTCTGGTAATGAAGCCTTTATCACTTGTTTAGTTGATCATCATTGCAGCACATTTTTAAATATCAGGTTGCATTTTGTTCAGACTTTTAAATAATCACAAGTAGATTTAGTTCTTCTAGTCGGTCTTTCCCTTTCTGACTTTCTAGAGGAAGCCGTCTGAAGTGTAACTAAAGGAAACCTGTGCTTAAAGAGGTGTAAGAGCGCCGTTTTCTTTAACTTATTAGAACCATCTCAGTCAAAGTTTCTGCTAACATCCAGGGTTAAAAGTCCTTTTGAAGAGTTAAGATCATTCAGAACTGAGATGTTAGCAGCTTGAATGATTGTGAAGACTGAAAAAAGTTAAAAATAATACTTCACCATATTATAATTTCTTTTTTCAGTAGCTTTTATATACCCAGGTTATTCCTCCCTTTATCTGTCAATATATCGTTTTTAATATGTAATGTTTAAATGGTTTGAATGTCAAAATAGTTTAAAAGCCTCTGTAAGTGGAACGAGCCAAATCGTGTTTTTGTCAGAACAATCCAATAAATGTTCATTTTTACATTTTGTAGATGTTGAAAGAAACCAGAATAGTTCACATTTGAGGAGCTGGGATCAGAGATTATGTTCTCCTCAGTCGTTTATTCAAGAAATGAGATCAGGATAGTTCCTCCCACGTTTGGAGAAAGGATATTGTCTTAATGAGTGAGGCAGGTGAACTTTATTCTAATCAGAATAATAACGACGTTTATTTGTATTGCACTTATAAGAAACAACATTTTAAAGTTCTTAACCTAACATAAAAACCCAAATTGAAAAACACAATAATGAAGTATTCAAAGAAGAAGGCATGTTGAGTATGTTTTCAGTGTTTTATGTTGGCAATAACACAAAGAAGTCACAGGATTAAAAAAAAAACGATGCACCCTTAAATGATCTTTCCTTCCAAACTAAAGATTCACGTCTGGGTCCATAATGTGCAAATGTGTAGCCAGAGTTTAGTCTGCATCATTTCAACTTCAAACCTGTGACATTTAAAGTGCACAGCATGTGTATGACCCCTCCCCAGCAGCAGATTGTTGTAAGAAAGCCTGCACCAGTCATCCCGACTGACCGAGCGAGCGTCACTGTCGTTTTAAATCAGGATTAGTTATGTAACCAGGATTTATCCTTCTCTTCTCAGCAAGTCCCTCAAGATACAAGCAGATTGTCCTGTTACACTGCCGCCAGCTGCTCTGTCTGTCTCCTGCTCTCCCTCACTTTCTGCTCTTCTCTCTCTCTCTCGTTCTCTCACTTTCTGCTCTTCTCTCTCTCTCGTTCCCTCACTTTCTGCTCTTCTCTCTCTCTCTCGTTCCCTCACTTTCTGCTCTTCTCTCTCTCTCTCGTTCTCTCACTTTCTGCTCTTCTCTCTCTCTCTCGTTCCCTCACTTTCTGCTCTTCTCTCTCTCTCTCATTCCCTCACTTTCTGCTCTTCTCTCTCTCTCAGCTCGCAGCCTCAATACAGAGTAAACAATCTGCTACACACACTGTAGAGATGATACACAAATAGTCTCTAAATCAATGCTTAGTCGGTCAAAACGGTTTAAATTAAAAAATAAATTAAAAAATTCCCAAGGGAGTAGGAAGTGTGCAAGTCATTTGCATCACCCAGACAGGAAGTGAAAAGTCTTAATCTATCTGAAATCTTGCATAATTACTGCTGAACATCCATGCACGGGCATGGACTGATGCAAGATTTTAATGACGAATTATGAGGAAAAAATGGTAGTGTGACATTTGCCCGATTACTTTTTTGTGAAGTGTTTATGACAGATGTGGTGGAGTGAAGTTTAGTGTCCTGGATCCAACAGGAGTTGCTCTCCACGTATTGGCTTGATCACTGTTTGAATAGCGCTCACTGGTAAATCCTGAGGTGTATCTGTGTGGATTAGCAGGCAATCTTTTTGTACAGGGAAGGAGTCTCATTCCTCTGCAAGAGTCAAAAAGCTGTGACATGCATCTGATGACACGCTGAGAAACGAACAGGTCGTCAGTCAGAGACAGGGTCAGGTGATCTCACAGAACTACCTCAAATGATCTCCTTGTTAATCTGTGGTGGTGGTGGTGGCACATAATGGGTTAACATGGCGTGCCAGCAACACAAAAACAATGCCAACGTGAGGGCATGTGTGAGAGGAAGAAATCCTTTCTTACCGTTGTTGTATTAGTGAAACAGTCGAGCTTCTGTTGTGTTTGAACATCAAGTTTTCTTTTGTTAATAAAAAAATATGTATATATTTATACCCGGTATCAGTGAAGTCCCCCGGCTCAATCCCCCCCATCATCACCCCAGTGGAATAGAGATCAAGTTGTCATATTGTTAGGGGAGAAGAAACCTCGGTCTTCACAAACACAATAGCCAACCTGCCCCCTGGTGGCCGTGAAGGAGAAGTGCAACAAGCGGCTTAAAACTTAAAAACCTGCCTGAGTCATGTCTGCTCTGAGTCATGATAGGTTAGAAGGAGGTTTTTAAGTAGTTACAGTTTCAATACTTCCATACTTTTGGAGACCACGTGTATTAAAAAAGATACAATCTTTGTTATTCTAATAATTAATAGTATTGAAAAGTACAGACAGACCAACAGATCTTCAGTCCTATTTTAACCAAAAGCTTCCACAAGCAGAAGAGAGACGATAGGAGTGTGCTCGAGTTTGCTTGCATTTTTTAGCAGATAAAAACAAAAAAATGACCCATTACTGTGTGGCTAGCACTCGTAGGTCTGCTGCCATGGTAACCATACAGATGACCATATTGTTTAATTTTTTACTAATATCAAATCTCAGTCAAAAACTCTGCTGTTGTGACAGCTGTAGTCTCAAGAAGAAGATAGCCCGCAGACTTGCTCAAATAACAAAAAAAGTTTTGATTCATGACAATGTTTCAACCAGAGGTCTTCTTCAGGTGATTTAAACCCAACAAAAACTGGATCTTTCTTTTTTACATTAAACACACAAATCATAATATAATGATAACGACATGAAACTGATGCAGGAATTAAAGTAATGAGTTGCAGGTTTAAAGACTGAGAGATCCTCTGTGACAACACTTTTGTAAAACCTCAGAGAGCAACCATTTAAGAAAATAAAAAGACGATCACAAGTAAAGAATATTATACATTCAGATCTTTTTGGAAGAATTGATTTTGCATAATTTGACATCTTGAAAATCTTGTAAACTGTATCAGTTACCAAACAAAACATTTTAACCTTTAAACTGATATCCTCTCATGTTTCATCTCCGCTGTGGAGGCGGTTGATAACGAGCTCAGACAGCAGCCGAATGATTCCCCCTGTATGACGCTGGGATTCTTTAGGGTGTCTCCTGATTCGATTCAATTTTGTTTCTTGAGGTCACGATTCGATTCAGAATCTATTTTCGATTCAAAACCATACGTTGATCCATGGATTCAAAGTCTATTTATGAATGAGTACATACTTCAGGATCTCCTCCAATCATTTGTGAGACTGAATTTCTTGCTGCTCCATTTGGCGTTCCTCTGGGTTAAAGAGCTAGCCTTAGCACTTAGCAGGGACCGACTGATTAGCCCAAAAAATCTAAAATTTCAGAAGATAAGAATCTCGATTTTTACATAAATACATTTTTCCCACCTTAAGTTTCTAGTTTATCTCACTGATTTGTCTTCTACCAGTGTTAGATTTTTGTATTCGAGCATTACTCTTCTTATTTTCAGTCTGTTCAGAGCCAGACCCTCGACTGTATTTTTGCACCCTCTATATCTTTATATTTATATTTGTCGTGTTGTCGTTTCACATCCATCCAGTGTTCCAGTGTAGTGAGTGTAAGTCAGTGATGATTCATCTGTGATTTTGAAAACCAGTTGTTGTGTTTGTGTTGTGATCACTGGATTGGTTGATGTTGATTCACTGACCATAACCATTCTGAGGCGGGGCGGGGCGGGGCAGGGCAGGGCGGGGGGGCATGCTGGAGGCAGGGGGGGTTTGTTGTGGGAGGCTCGTTGGCCGATTGATTCCTAACAGATGCGTTTGTCTTCTTCTTGAGGGTCACAGACGAACCTGAGAGAATCAGCAGATCTCCGGTCACAAGGTGAGTAACAACACGATGATCCTTTTTCACAACGATGACCTTTAGTAAACTCCTCTTTGAGTGACAGTTACAGCTGATGTTAAAGTTTCTGATGGATTAAACAAACAGTTTGCATCATAAGAGCTTTAAAGAAACTGTACGGAGGTTTTTCATCACCTCTTTACTTCCGACTAGCTGTGTCGAGGTGTTTCAGCTTCATGTTTACTTTACAAACACAAAGCGTGGAAACAATCAGCACGATAAGCATGTTTCCCAAAGTGTCCAAATATTCTGTAAGACTCTTTCTTTAGAGAAGACTTCACTTGTTGAGCTCAAATGTTTTTTTTTAACTCAAAAACACATCGAAGCAGAGTCCTACTGCGTTGACCTCTCAGCTGTGAATCAGTTTCTAAACATGAGACGTCGACATCGTTAACATGTGATTCAACGTGAGAACAGTGTGAGAGAAATGTCTAAAAAATATGAGAATTTCTAGTTCTCAAAAGAAATAAGAACATGATTTGAAGGGATTCAGGAAACCTTTTGAACGTGATCAAGGAGAGAAAACATTGGACATGCTTTCCCTCCTTTTGTTTTTATTATTTAAATTTTTATTCAGAGCAAAACGTAAACATGTTTTGCAGCTAGTCAAAGTTACAAAGGTTTTTTCAGAAAGTAAAGAGATACACAATAAAACCGGTATAAGACACAGTCGTCTAAACATTCTTATAAAATGAGGTGGTAGTAGTGGTGAGACAAATAAACATTTTGTAAGAGAAAATTCAAAGCTTGGCAAAGTCATTGTGAGTAAAAGCAATATGCCGGGATGGGCAAGCAAACAGGATTGTTTTTTGGTTGTGATCTTAAATACAGAAAAGCCTCCGACAGTTTCAATACATCAAAGAACATTTAAAACAATAAAAAACATCCATAGCAATACATCTGCATCTCCTGTTATAAAGATGAGTTTGCCAAAATCCCCTTACACCAGGTTTACATTTTAAATATCCAGCAGAGATTTAAAAACAAGCCTTAAACTGGACACTTTTAAAAGCTTTTTGTTCCCTTTGTGATCATTTTAACAACGTTCATAACTTATAGAGATGTGACAGTGCTCATACTAAACAGCTTATTCATGTTCAATCACTTTAACTAATCTAAAGAGCTTCACTATCAACCTGCCCAGAAATATCTTCTCCATATACTGTACCTGTAACTGCACGATCACAATGACAGAGAATTTAATTTAATGAAAGTATTTTAGATCTCAGAACATCGACGATTTTGAAGTTAAGAACTAAAAAAATTACTTAAAAATGTCACATTGTTGTTTAATGTCGTTTGTAGAGAAGCCTGGATATTAATCCTACCAGACGTTTATTTTAAAGATAATTATGAGTCACGTTCCACCACTAGAACTATGATTGGATTGTGTAATAACTCTGTGTGTTTTCACTAAAGGTCATGTGTACTCTCTCTCAGCCTCAGCTGCTTCAGCCCCTCAGTCTCAGTCTCAGGTTCTGTCTCAGGGTAAAAGCAGCAGGTAAAGCAGCAGCAGGTTAACGTTAGCTAAGAGACTGTGATGTGGCTGTAGATGCTGAACATGGCTCCCTGTGGTAGATAATCCCCTGTGGGTAGTAGAGCCCTGACCTTCCTATGTGAAGAGAAGAAAAGAAAAGTGTTTTCATTACGTCGTCAGCGTCATCGTCCCTGAAGCGACCCTCCCCCTCCCTCCCTCACCTGCAGCCCCAGTTTAACGGATTCTGTTAAAGTCTTTATATGTGATTTTTCACACTTAAATGTAGAAATCAAGTCTATCCTCTGAAAATAACTCTGTGAGTCATGACTGTCTACAATGGGTGTAACACCCGAGTCCCACTGTCTGTGATGTTTTCAGAGTTTTCAGAGTCCTATCTTCACTTTGTTTACATCGCCAGGACGGCCGGCTGACTCCTCCCCTCATGTATAAAAGTTGTTTAATCGAGGGACTAGAGAAAAGAAGAATAACATACTGTACTCACTGCTTAACTGTGTTTCTAGATCACGCTAGCATTAGCATGCTAACACAACAATGCAGCGCAAGTTGTTTTGGTTTCATGCTGGTGCTCAAGGGCGACATCTGCTGGATCAAAAATCACATTAAAGCCTTTAATGTGTGATAGAGAAAATACTACTAGAGAGGAAACAAGAAGACAGTTTGTTAGTTTTTTTATGTATATTTAGTTGTAAGGTCATATTTAAAAAATGTCCCATCCTGACCCCAAAATCCTTCACATGAACATTTACTTCAGGTGGGTTTCATTTGTACGTCCTTTTTCTGTAATGCATCCACTGTATGGTATAAAAAAGAAGTGATGTTGTTGAACAGTTACTTATCTGAGACCCTGGAAGCATGTTGTAATATCAAAATGTAAAAAGTCTGATTCTAATATTTCTTCTTCTCCTCCTCCTTTTCCCCAACCTCTCATACATTCACATCCAATCAACCACTCTCACCTTCATCACACCCACACCTTCCACCTCATCTGAAATACCAAAAATCATTCCCATCCATGTTGGATCTTGTGCTCTTCTGCCTCTCCTACTCCTCCCATTTATATTTTTATAAAACAAACCCCGCCTCCTTCTTTAAACATCAAACCCGCCCTCTCCTTTTTATTTATTTTTTTATTTTTACCCATCCATCCATCCTGTCTCTGCATGACTCTTGCACCTCCCCCCCTTCCAGTCGCCATCTATCTGGGCATCAGAAAGCGGCCGAGCCCCGGACCCCCCGATGCGGCTGGGATGTGAGGGTGCGGAGCCCCCGCGACCCGGCCGAGGTGGTGCTAGCGCTGCGCGAGGCGGCTCAGGGCTGCGGGTGCCAGGTCCACCTCGCGGGTCCTTTCCTCCTCTCCTGCACCCACGGAGCAGCCGGCGCTCGCGTCGCCTTTGAGGCCGAGGTCTGCCAGCTGCCCAGCGGGCTGGGCCAGAGCAGCGGTGTGAGGTTCAAGCGCCTGTGGGGGGCGCCGTTAGCCTTCAGAGACATTGCCACCAAAGTGTCCAAAGAGCTGGAGCTCTGAGGGCGACGGGAGGCGGGGCAGATTGACGACGGGCGGGACAAGTTGACGACTGAGGAGGGCTGAGGAGGAGGAGGAGGAGGAAACCATCGACTCCTCCTCTTCCTCCCTGGGCTTCACCTCATCTGTTGTGGCTAGTGATGCCTCGCCTCCGCCAAAGACCCTCTTCTCCTGATGCCACAAACAGATGCGCAGACACGTAGACCGACATCAGCAGACTCATGACCCCCCTTGACCTTGGAGCTGTCAGTGACCCTCGCCTCCTGCTTAGAAACCTCCGTATTGTGTGAGCCCTCAGAGTCACCGTTTTGTTTTTTTTATAATTCATGTTTGATGATGATATGGACGGTGTTGTTGAGAGTGATGGAGAGTGAGGATTTCTTGTTGTTGTTGTTGTTGTAATTCCTATTCGATCTTATTTGTCATCATTCCTTTTTAAAGAGCTGCTATTTAAAGATACTTTTTTGTGTTTTAAATTTATTTTCTGTCTTTAAATGCTTTTTAAATGAGCAGGAGTTTGACATCTGTTGTCATTCTTGGAAGCCGGTGTTGCATATTTAATGAGTGAGGGCGCAGTGTGACCCCCGGGCATCTAGAGGGAGACATGCAGAAATGCATAGACTTAAAAGAGCATCATGGCCTTTCTGCAACATCATTTAAAAATCACTAAATTTACTGCTCAGTGAGGTGTTTAGTTTGTTTCATGTCCCACTGTTCTTACTGAATTCAATACTCTGGACTGAGAGCGCACAGACGAGCAAAGCAGGATGTAAAATAAGACTCAGCTGATATACATTCACGACCTTTACCAACGAGAAAAAGTCCATTAGAAAATGAACAATAAGATATATCTTAGTTGTACAGGTTACTTGATCCGTACCAGGAATCATGATTTGACACAGGCAGAGAGCAACACCATGTCACAGACTAGAACCTCAACGTTTCATTTTCAAAAAGCAGGTTTTTTCAGCTGATAATAAATGACCACCATGCACTCTATTAACTATCAGTTTATTATCATTATTTCACCCTCTAAATTGAGAAGATTAAATTGTTGCTCAGCACATATCGCATGCTGTTTCCACTGAGTGCCCTGCATCTCTTTCTGGTCTGATACATTTTGATTCTGCGTCTTTTCAAAACGATGCAACCTTCATTATTTTAAATATCGATGGTATCAAAAAGTAAAGGAAGCATTTTTTTAAAAATTGTAAAGATCATCGTCCATATTTTTAACCCAGAACTTCTCGATATAAGAAGCGAGAGAGTCACAGGTCAGCAAATACAGATGTTTCTCAAGTCCTTGAGGCGTCTCATAAATGTACTAAAGTAACCTGATGACACTGAGCAGGGGAGATGTTGCCTTTGTGTTTGTGGGCCGGAGTTGGTACTTAAAAACAAAGCATGTACCCAACATTGGGAGCCCAGGAATTCTGTTTTTGTTGTCATGGTTACAGAACAGGTATTCATTTTGTTGTATTTGTATTTTTTTTACTAGAATCGTATCAAAGTGTAAAAAATGCTGGTATCATGGCGGCCCAGCATCCAAACAACTAATCAGATCACATTCATGGAAACAAATATTTTCTCTCTTTTTTTTTTTTAACCATAAAGAGATTCTCCCGGTTTGATGTCCCCTTGTCACTGTTTTTGTCTGATATAATCAGATGAGTTCATGCAAACCACAAACCTGATCCAACATGAAGCAAACTCATTGTTGGTTCCATCTTTAACTTCAAAAGCAGAGATTTCACTAAATCTTTGAATCCCAGTATCGAGCAGCTGACTGTTACACATGTGCATCAGGTTATTTTAATTGATCTAATCTTTAGAATATATTTTCCTAAACACGTCTACAGTGTCCCGTACTGTTGTGTAGTAAACAGAGGAGTCTGTTTTAGTAACAAACAGCTGTTGCTAAGGCAGCACTCTGACACCACAGTCTGCATCGACTGTCCTCATAATAACGTGCAATACAGCCACAAAGCTGAGACTTGAATACTCATTCATTCAGACTCAACAGGGCTCTGTGATTTATTCTTCATTATGTTGATTTGTTGTTAAAATTCATCGAGCACTTTTCTGCTTTTAGCCGGTTTGGCCTTGTACTGAACTGGCACCTTTTTTTTTTTTTTTTTTAATTCATCTGTAATTTGTTTTGTACAGTTTTTAAAAAATGTCGATGTCTCACATGATTAAAGCCGACGCGAGTGAATAGCTGAAATTTGAATGCCTTTACTCACATGAACGGCTTCTGGAAATCATTCTCTTTCCACAGTAATCCAACTTCCAAGTTCAGTACCCTCGGAAAATTCAAGATTCATCCTTTCTCTGTTACATGTCGTCATTTTTTTTTTTTTCTGGTTCAATAATGCATTTTAGTTTGTGTTCCTCAACTCAGTAACACTTCCGACTTTTAAAATGTGTAGAGCTCCCCTCGCTGGTCGACCCGGTGGCGGCAGCACTGACACATGTAGGACTGTAAGAATTCAGACTGTTAACCAATCACTCCACTCTCAACTCCACTGATTCATCAAAGCATGCAACGTTTGAGGTCATGGTTAAAGATGAGAATGTGACCTCACATGACTTTGGGAAATTAAAATGTTGTTTTTTTTTAGTCCTGAGTCTGAAAACTCCAAAATCAAAAGGTTGTTGTTCTTGTCTTGTTACTCCCTCAAGCAAACAAAACGTGTACTTCTGAGGTATGTAACCTTTAATCAAACACTGATGTTTGATGGTACAGCAGATTATATTTACGGCTGTAAAGAATTCACCTTTAAGACAGGAGCAGGTATGGACCCACTGTTCAAAATGTGAAGATGTGATTTAGGGCTAAATTCATTTTCTGAATAACAGGCCTCTTTCTTTCTCTCTCTCTCTTTCTCTCTCTTTCTCTCTCTCTCTCTCTTTCTCTCTCTCTCTTTCTCTCTCTCCCTCGCTCTCTCTGAACTTGTTCTGTAGATACAGTTAGAGCCGCGCTTTAAGGCTACAGTTCTGTTGTAAAGTGTGTTTGAAGACATTGCTGTTATCAACAAAAAGTTAACTTATGGGCTGAAATGACCTTAATGATCGACCTGCAATCCTGCATGTCTCCTAGGAAATAATGTGTGACACAAAAATAAAGACTTCAACCTCTTTCATATTTCATGTCTTTTGTTTTTTGTCCCGAGCGATCCAAGAGAAAACATGAGGAACAAGTGTTTGATTGTTACATGGGGCATAGTTTTTAATTGTCCAGATATATATTACAACCAAAAAAAAGACTTTCAGTACTTTACATAGCCATGACCAGACTATGCATGGATTGATCCCAGGATGTTACAGAGATGTTGGGAAGAGATGTTTAAAGTGACAGGAAGTTAGAAAGAGGAAGTGAAAGCAGGGGATAGAAAAGATGAAGAACAGAAGTTCAGTAAAGTTAGCAGAGAGAAAAGTGGAGTGTCTTCTTGTTGGAGATAAGTAATCAGGAAGTAGCCAGTCGGCCGAGACCGGTGAGATAACTTTACAACAAGGGCTACTCGTTCATTTTTTTTATAAAATAAAAAAAAAACAAACACAGACAGTCACTCAGTCATTGGATGTCTTTCCACTTTACTTCTGGGCGGGGATCATGCCATCGATGGCCTCTCCCTTCTCGAGCTTCTTCTCCATCTCAACCATCAGCTTGACACCATCGACCACCAGCTGGACCTGATCCACCTCGGAGGAGCCCAGACGGTCAGCGTTGGAGATGTCGAACACACCACCCACGGAGGCTGTGTCCACACCACCTGCAGGGGGGAAGAAGGGGGGTAGCAGTAAGTAACAGTAAGGGAACAAAAGAGGCCCAAACATGGGATTTTATAGTTTTGTTAACGTCGGCTGTGACCCCTTTTACTATTAGTTTTGTTTTCAGTACCTGTTCCGCGCTTCTGCAGACGCAGCCTGGTCAGGATCTCCTCAAACTTGGCATGTGTGCTGAGCTTGGGCAGCTTGACGTGCACGCCACCGCGCAGGCCGGTTCCCAGGTTGGAGGGGCAGGTCAGGATGTAGCCCAGATGCTCGTTCCACATGAAGCCGTGGTTGTGCTTCTTGAAGATCTCCTCAATCTGACCGGTGGAGAGGCAAAAAAACGGCATGTTGGTTATAAAAAAAATAACTAGGCATTTCTTGCAAGACACTTCACAAGCCATGACAAGTAATGGTTGAACATCTGGATTGTTTCACTTGTGTTCACATGTGCCTACTTGAATCTTGCAAACTCATGTGTTAAAGTATCTGTTACCTTCTGCAGGCCAGTGCAGAAGCGTCTGAAGACCTCCTTCATGTTGCCTCCCTTTTGCATGGAGATGACACGCAGGTGATCCTCCTCGTTCACCCAGACCAGGAAGGTCTTGTTGTCGTTGTGCCTGAAGGAAGATTAAAAAACAGACTCGGGGTCAATTGGTTTTTACAAAGAGGACAAAATGTTCCCAAGCAAAGTTTTTGATACTAGAATGTTGCATGAAAAACCGCCCTGCAGATTTGTGGTTGTTGGTTTCTCACAGTAAAGTCAAAGGGGAAACGTAACCCTGACAACCATGCTAACCCTGATCTGTGCATTATCTGAGCTGCACAGTATCAGATTTATAGTCTGATACTGTCTGAAGTGTGCTGCAGCCTATCACACTTTTACAGATGTTTAAAAGCAGGCGTCATCAGAAGAGTTGACTCTGAGAGAGACAGATAGTGGCAGTTTTTACGGTTGACTTGGGATGGGTAGATTGGAGATTTTAGCTTAAAGGGGGGTTGTTTGTATATTTGTATTAGCTGCCAGTTGATTATAGCACAACATCTGAACAACTTTCTGCTTTCTTAACATGGAGAGTTTCAATAAAGTGAAAGTTAGCGGTCAAATTTTCTTTACACTCTTGAGTCTAGTGTTTTTTTCTCTCACCAGATGCCTCTGCCGTCGGGCCAGTCACGGGCCATTCCGGCGCAGGTCAGCAGGGGGGACACAGGCTTGTCGAAGAGGAAGTGATCAGCGATCAGCTGCTCCTGCTCGGCATCGGTCATGCCGCTCAGGGGGTAGTACTTTCCCTTCAGCTCACCATCCAGGTTGGCCAGGGCTGAGAGGAAAGAACACATGGAGTCAGTGTCTAATTGTTACACAAAACACTTTGTAAAAGGACTGACAGGTTGGGTTTATTGTTTTTATAAGTTTGGCATTCACCCTCAATGGACAGTTTCTCAATGCCTCTGCGCTCTCCACGGCTGTTGTGGGGGGGCAGGGTGAATCCCTTGATGCTGCGGCCAGTACGGACACGGCTGGACAGCACGTAGTTGGGGTCCAGGTCATCACCTCCCTGAGAGAAGCAGGCAGAACAGAAGAATGGTTATTATTGTACTGGAGCCAATAGTTTTCAGGACTCATTTGTATTAGAGAGTGTGAGAGAATGACTGAATATTCTGCAGCTTGTTGCTTAAGAAAGTCAGTTTCAAGGCATGCTGGGGAGACTTAAATATTTTAAATACATAACCAGCCAAGTTATCAAAACAGTAATGACATTAAACGCTTCCTTTCTTCTTACCTTCAGGTTCTCGAAGTTCAGGTCGGTCTTGTGCTTGTCGGTGGGCTTGTAGCCACTGTGACGGTCGGAGATGATGGGGTCCAACAGATCCTTGAAGACCTCGTAGCACTCCTCATCACCGGCAACGCAGCCGACAGTCATGATGAAGGGGTGACCTGTGGGACAAGAGGAATGATGAGAACGTTGGTAGCTAGCTCTACCTTTAATATCTCACCATTATGAGACGATGAATTCCTTGATATTAAAACTAACCATGAACTGAAACTTGTCAGAATTTTAACCCTAAAGCCCAAAAAATGTGATAAAGCTCTTGAGTCGCCTTAGCAGGTCAGATGGACGCTGACCTTTTCAGGTTCAGAGGTTCACAATCATAACTCGTATTTCACTACATACAGTGTTTTCTTTGGTCGATTAGATTTTCCTATCTTTACTGGTTTGTGTTTATGTTGATCACTTCCTCCTTCTTACCAGGGTTGTCAACACCGGTCTGGATGACGTCATCCACGGTGAAGCCGCTGGGGGTGGACTTTCCCCTCAGCTTTTCGTAGATTTCCTTGGTCAGCACCTACAGTGGATGAGACCCAGTGCTGGTCAGTGATACATTCATGTGACTTCCTGTTTCTGTGACATTTAAGTATCTTAATGCCACCTCATGCTGAAGGTTATTGGTGACTGTCAAAGGAATGTTTTTTTCTTTTCTTCCTTGTCATGGATAGACACGTGTGTGAGCACAGTTTTTATACCTTGGCCATGTGGTTGTTGTGGAGAGAGAGATCGGGGAACTCCTCGTCCACAGAGAACTTCATCTTGAGGTCATTGTGGCAGTTCTTTGCCATGGCTGCGATTCTTACTCCGCCTGAAACGTTCAGAAAAAAATTATTAGTTTGATTTTTCTGAAGCTACAATTCTTGTAAATGTATTTGCTGGAACTGCAATAAAAAAATATTTTGCACACTTTTATTTACAAGCTACACAAAAGGAGTTCTTGATGTTTTTTTGTTGCGGTGATGTAACAAAGCAACCCGAACAACAACAACAACAACAACAACAACAACAACAACACAGTAATCTGATGAATACCATTTTTCTTTTCAGGAATTTCTCCAAATTTTTCAAGAGTCCTGTCTATGAGTCTTCTGGTAAAGAAGAGACACCTTTTCATCTCTCTCTCTCTCTCTCTCTCTCTCTCTGTCTCTCTCTCTCTCTCTCTCTCTCTTTCGCTGTCTCTCTCTCTCTCTCTCTCTCTCTGTCTCTCTCTCTCTCTCTCTCTCTCTCTCTTTCGCTCTCTCTCTCTCTCTCTCTCTCTCTCTCTCTCTCTCTCTCTCTCTCTCTCTCTCTCTCTCTCTCTCTCTCTCTTTTCTGTCTTGCAGCTGTCTTCATGCTCTTCCCCCTGCTGTTCTCACCACCTGCCCCTCTCCGCCCAACAGCTCAGGTTATTAATAGTATGGTGGTGCTGCCTCTTGTCCTGCACATCTCCCTTCTCTGCAGGGAGCTACAGCACAGTAATGAAAGATTTCCCTTCTCTCTTTCTTCATCTACAGCCTCAGACTAATGCAAGCTTAGTTTCCAAGCGACTGTGCTATTTGGAGGTAGCAGAGAAAGTACCAAAAGTAGTTAGGAGTTGAAAAGAGGAACACTGGCGCCTGGTGCATGTCAGCCCGACTCTTTCCTCCCTGTCTCTCTACAGCTATGCTATTAATAAAGACAATAGGCAAAAAAATCAAATACAGTTTAAAATAGATCAAGATTTTCTAAGATTTTAAAAAAAGTTGTATGCACCTTTTCATCATTCTGAATCTATAAACGATAAGCTCCCTCTTTTCATCTCTCAGAGGTCAGAACTCAACCAACCTGCTGCTGTAGTTGATTGATGACCCCTGGTACACTTAAAGGTCAAAGCATTGCATGCCTCTCAGATGGCTCCATATGTTCCATGACTAAATCAAGCGCTCCTAAACTATTCAGAGACACACTGGAAACCTGTCCTGCTGGCGTCAGCAACAGCTGACAGAGAGTCACAGCTGTTTGGGTGACACCATGCTGCCATATACTAGTGCTACCAATACCCCCCCCCCCAAAAAAAAAAACAACAGTGTCGATTATTTCAATGAAAAGTCTCACTACACTAGGAGAAAAAGAAATTGTTAAGATTTTAGTAGTTTCCATATCAGGAAAGAAAAATGAAAAGCATTGGAGGAATCCATGAAAAAATACAAGAAGAGAAAACGTGTTTTCAGTCCCAGAGTTCACAAAGGAAGGAATCTGTCAAATTGTTTCCCTAAAATGTTTAAGGTCCATACTTCTAAGAAGAAAAAAATCCCCACAATCTTTTCCATGGATATATAAAAAAAACTAAAACCTGATTCTGTCTTTTTACCTGCTTTGGAGAAAAGAAAGGGTTACAGATCCTGGGATCAGATCCTGTTCACCAACTTTAAGGGTTGCCCAACTTTGCCAGCTGATGGGCTTAAGCATTTATACCCAGACCCCCCATCCCTATTGGCTGACCACAGTCAGGGTCCCCTTTTTTGATTGGTCACGGGGGGTCTTCTGTGCCCGGTTGAGTTTCTAAAAGGCAAGAACAAACTTCACA